TATAATATATGATAAAGCATAAATATATATATATGTAATGTGATCTGTTAAGAGTCAAAAATTTATATCCCTTTCCCCTTCAAAAAAGCTGAGCATGCCAATGGCAACCATTATTACAAACTATAAAATATTTTAATATCTAATGTTAGTATGACAGTTTTTTCTATTAACAAAAAAATAAAATAAAAAATGAATCTGTCGTTTTTATTATAGTCTAAARTTATTATGCTGAAAATATCTGAACAGTTTGAGTTTGAACATTAATTTTACCCAAATTTTGAACTGTTTTAATTTATAAAGATTCAGATTGAATATTATGAATTTATAGTTTGAGTAAAGAACTTTAAATTAAATAAAGAAATCTAGACTTTGAAGTCTCAATAGGTATGCTGTTAATTATTTGTCTATATTGTACCTATAATTACAGACAAACTGAGCATGCTCAATRGAACATTTTCAAATTTTAAATGCAGTCTATGTTTAGTAAAAATCATTAAAACAAATCAGATCAAAATAAAAAAATAAAATAAAGAATTTATTTTACTAGTTTACTTTAAGACTTTAATATTTTAATCATAATATTAAATTAGGTTGTCTACAATATAAGAAAACTAAATAGATGTTTTTTATTAAGATGTACCTTTATGTTGTTTTGGTTGCCACCAATAACCATGATAACGATTAAATTCTTCTTGCATTACATAGGAAGGTACACCTGCTGCCAATGGATCATCTGATAAACACCGTCCACCTTTATGAGCAAATGTCAATCTTTTAGTACTACCTGAAGCTATATGAGTTACCCAAATATCAAAGTTACAAACATATGCAACAATATCAACGTTATTTGGACAAATCTGAGGTGAAAGCTTAGCTCCAGCAGAAGTTGTTCTCAACTCAGTTGGATATAATGAATTAGTCTATTAAATAAAATTGATTACTATACAAAAATTTAAATATATTAATGGAATTGCTTACTGAATATTCATTATCATTACATTGAAATAATGTACTTGCAGCAGGGAAAACAATTCTACCAGATTCACTGTTGATTTCATAAGAGGTAATTCCAAATGTAGTTAAACGTTTTCTTTCAGATAATAGTTGTTCTTCTCGTGAATATCGGCCGCTCATAATTACACTAGGGAAATTGGATTCAATCAAAGGTTGCCATGGTAATTGACCGGCGACACTTTGGTTAGGTAAATCAACGTAAAGAAGAGTTTCAAATTCATTTACAGGAGCACTAAGAAAATAAACCCGTGTTTTTCCATTTTGTAACCGTCTAAATGATACATGCGAGATGGACATCACTGATACAGTAGAAAGACGATGGCGAAAGTCACACACTGTTTGTCGGATTTCAGACCATGTCTTTTTTGCTCCTGGATTAGTGATTGACTGATGACCATTTTCTAAAGCATTATTATCACCGTCGGTTGGTTTTCTATTAATTGCAGGACTGCAGTTGCCCTATTATACAGTAAAATAAATAAATAAATGTATATTTAAATTATAACAGATGTGTACAATTTGTATGCATAAAAGAACTATAGGTGCTAATTGTGATAAATAATATTATAAATATATGAAAATATATTTACAAATTGTATAAATTTTGAATTGTACAATTTACCTGGTCGTTAGGTAACATTATGCACAAAATATAATCGAAGAAATAATTACAATTTACTTAGTATCATAACAAATAATCATAAAATATAATAAACCATAACAAGCCGATTTAAGACAAAAGTCAAAAATGTAATAATTCATAAATTGGCAACAAAGCTATAAAGGCCTTTCACCATATTTAAGGTTAGATGTAGTGGGGAGGAACGAATTGCCATTCGCCGGTTGAAACTGAGTAGGCTAACTTACTGCTGTTAGGAGTTAGGATAGTGTTATCAATTATCAATTGTTTTTATGTGTATGCAATTATAGGATATAGGTATATGATATCATTACAGAATAGACTTAATGCTATAAATAAATATTATATTAATGTATTATTCTTATTTTCATATTGTGCTTTAGGTCGCAGATTGTATAATATATAAATATGTACAACTATTTAACAAAATAAAATAAAATATAGGTACCTATCACCTATGTAATATTTATGGAATACTAAGTATATATAATTTGATATTAGGAAAAAAGTCCCCTGTAAGAAAGTCTCGTGGAAAAAAGCCTCCAAATTAATATTTGATTTAAATTCAGTCTTCTATCATATATGTATTTATATAGGTTTATAGGCCTAGGAAATACATGTTTCATATTTCATTGAAAATAATTAACAAACAATTAAATTAAATAGGTACCATTTTAGGATTAAAAAATATTGTCCCACATTCACGAAAGAACATAAAAACAAAATTATTATTCTCTACATAGTTATCTAGATATTTTCCTTCAGTTTAATTGATACTTACAAAATATGCATWGGTATAAATATAAGTAGATTTAAATTCAGTATTTTTTCATATAAGTATTTATAAACATAATAAATTACTTGTTAAATTTATTGAAAATAATATAATGATATAAAAATATATATAGTATAAAATATGCGTCTTATAATATTATTTAAAAAATAAGGAGACTTTTTTGATTTTTCCCGTTTATCATATTTTATTTTATTTTGGTGACTGTGAAACTGTGATATTAATATTTTACCTACATAAGGTATTGTATAATACATTGAGATAAAAATTGTAGTATAGTCTTGCTATATTATTATATAATGTATATACTTATTACAGACTATAAATGCATGTTTATTATCAAAATTAGAATCTAGAGCAAGCATATGAATGAATTAGTTATGGTTTATGGCATAATCATATGACGWGGGCGTTAAAAGTTACTATAAAATAAAAAATAATATTTTGTGATCAATAATTAAGTTACCCATAAATTTATTAATATGATATTGATACATGTCAGTGCGGTACTCACAAATTTAGATAATATTATCTGTCTTAGTTATAAATTTCATCAACTACTTCAGGTTATATTAGGTATCTAATAAAAACTTTAAAACTTTATAGTACACCTATGTTGTCTTTTATTTTAAAACGGCTAAACAACTTTATTCATGTTCTATGTTTTGTTTTTTAATATAAATCTATATTAGCTGTCCCGTCTGAAATTGTTCGGGTTAAAGATTTGTATTTTTATCAATAATGTATACCGATTTGCAAAAAATTTATATTTCAAATTTCGGAGTTGAAAAATTTGGATTTTAAACTATATAAATACCATAGACAAGTACTTTATTTATAAGTCTATGATGAATACCTTCCAAGTATCATTGTATTAATAAGAATCCATTAATATAACATTTATCGAAAACGGTCCAGTATTTTTGGATGTAACCATTTTTCTCCAAAAACGAGATACTGTTCTCATCCACTAACCATTTTCCTCCAATAAATAATAAATAAAATAATAAAATAGTTAATACAAATAAATTATACATATAATTAAGGATTGAATATTTATACAAGGTTCATCATTACCAGAAGTTTATTTTGAAACCATTAAATTTATACAATAAATTTCACAATGTTTGTAAAAACATTTGAYGTCAAATTTGAATATCATATAAGATATGCAAATGAATAGTAAAAATGTTGATCATTTTATTGTACTTAAAAAATATTATTCATAGGATTTGACATTTTTACGTGTGCCGGGTGTCTATTGTGTATACTTAATAAACGAAATTAGATCTCCTAATTTTAAGCTATTGCTTATAGGCTATATATTTTATAATAAGTACCTATACCATTCCATGGCTACTGTATCCTGTATGATGTACATCAGTGTGTTTACCTAATCCCCATATTTTCATTTTAAGTTTTTTCCCCTGTGTCATACCTAAAAAAATAATCAAAACTTCAAATCAATTAAAATATTACGATTCWTCGAGTAATCGAATAGAAGCATGCTTAAACAAATATTGTTATTTTGAATGTAAAAAAAAAAAAAAAATGTTTTTTGATCATATGGAATTATGTCATAATCATTAYATTATAAGTACTCATAGTTTATAGTTATTCTCCATATTATTCAGACATATGGATGATATTATACCGTGGACGATCTATTAAAATAAACCAAATAAYTTTTATGCAATTTATAGGACTAAAATAAAAGTAAAAAATAACTTACATTATTATATTTTTTTAGCATAACATTTTATTGAAACAAAATCAAGCTTTTTATTGATTTGTTTTATTGAAACTGTATTTGTAAACGCCACAGATGTCTTCAAGACAATTAAGTAATAACATGCTATACAGAACTTCTGAAACAGAAGTCAGAAATGGCTGTTTATTAATTATCAAGCAACCTACCAAAAACTGTGGTTTACTGGCTGTGTATTCCATAGAGTAATATTAATCTAACCTAACCTAACCATAGTATGGTGATTCTTATTATGTAAGACCAATAAATTGCCGTCTACCTTTATAGTGTTTTAATTTTATGATAGGTTTTACTCATGGCAATATGGCATTATTGAAATATTGTTGTTGTTCATCTTTAACGATAAGCAACGGCTATATGATAATATTTACATAGGTAATAAAATGTATAAAATTACCTGTACACATCGAGTAAAAAGTTTTTTTTAATAATCGGTGTTGTTTCTTCGAATACAAGCTTATATAATATCGTGTGAAATATGAAAAATTAGGAAGGTAGTAAGTACGATTTTTTTAAAATAGCCAAAATATTGAAAATCGAAGTAATATGCTCGATACTTGACATTCAATAATTTAACGAAAAGTTTAGAAGTGCAACATAACTCCAAAATTATTTGACATTATAATTCCGAAAATAATAAAATATTGAGAAAATTACATGTTACATAAAAAATCGAGGTATCCGTCATTATCGTTTGATACCATATGGCAGCACTGTAACGTTCGTTGGCCCTCTCCTTCTTGTTTCCTTAMAACAGGACWACAACAGGAGTCTGCAGACTGCAATGGCAGTCGTCAGATGCCATAGTCGTATACCTGTTCCATTTTGTAGTGCTGGTCGTTTGCTAGGCTGCAACAGTTTCACCGTTCAATCTACGAAGTGATTTTAGTAGTTCGTCGCCCGTTTTGAAGTATGTGTTGTACCTGTAAAAATTTTAGTGCGATATTAATAGGTATCTAATATTATTTACGCTTGCGTATAGAATAAATAATTAATTCGTGTGTTCGTGTGATATTTGTTTTATGAAGTGATTATTATGAAAACTGCAATGTTGTACTACAAACATATCAGGTATATTATACATACCCAGTACATTTTACGAAAATATTAAATTTTACAAATTAATTTCGAATTATTTTATTAATTCCATTATTTATTAACTAAATTAGATAGTATAAAATATGAATTTATAAATTATTATCGTGCTGAGTTGATATATTATGTATTGCRCACTATAGGTAGTCTATATAATATATTAATATATCTTATAATAAATTTATATGTACACACTACACACACATACATCAATTATATTATTATGTGATTGATTATTTGCATTTTTTTAATCATTCAAAATCAATAATTGTCGATGACAATTGGTCATCGACCAATTGTGAGGAGGGGGTTGGAATTACACACTATAATATACTAATCTATGGATACACACAATTTTATTGTCCTGATGATAATGTAATTATTTGCGACATTTGCGTTGCTAGCTCTTATCTTGGGCATAATTAAATAATTTCGTGTGAATTATTATTTTCAATAGGTTAGTAGTATACTTTGAAAATTAAAATATTTTAGATACTTACCATATTTTTTTTATATCTGACAATAAATTCCTCTGTGGTTTTTTTCCATGTATTACCAGCGTTATATATATATTATAGGGCAAAATTTCAACCAGGATAACATTTTCTTTCATTTCCAATCTACGAATGACTTTTTTTAGTTTACCATCGTCTTTCATAGAAACTTATTGGTATGTTTCTATTCAAATTGTCTGAATGAGCGCGGTTAACAATAGCGAATAACCAGGACGTGTCGACTGTGTCTAGACTCCCGACCTCAATATAGTTTTTGACTTTTTTTTTTTCATTTATTTGGTTTAATTGGTTTTATACATTAAACTATTACAATAATTAGATTTATATGTTTAAAATAATCATTTCAAGGAGGAAATGTTCAGAGCATTGTAGTATAGTCGGTTGTGCCACAAATTGGCGCTTAAACCTCTGAAAGTTTTATATGCCCGGATTAGCCAAATACTTATGTCATATGATTTTGTATGATTCGTACTCAGATTTATGTCAGCAGTCTACCGTTTGATGCTAGTCAAAACTACTCAAGATTCGTTGTTTTTTTAATGTACCTTMTCACATCGTAATTTACTACTATTTATAGTAGATACAAACTTTAAGGATCAGAATTCGTATTTCGTAGAGGAGTTCGTCAAATAAAAAGTGCTTCAAAAGTTAGATATAAATGTTACATTAAATATGGGTATTTTAGACTTTGGCGTATCTACACATTTTTGATATTTATTATAGGTTATAATATTTGAATTTATTATTTACATACATTTGACGTACATATTGTTACATTTGTAACTAAACATACTCGTATATATTTATATATATATATATATATTATAGCCTTTCTGATATTTTTAAACAATTAATAATTTTAGGGTTCGGCTTAAAGTTGTTATACACGATATACCTAATTATGTATCTACCTATTACTCTACTATATATTCAATATATTTCAACATTTTACTTGAATTCGACTTACTGAAAAACTTAYMATTTAAAATCTACCTATTCATTGTACAAATGTTTAATACATGTATACCTAATATGCAAACTATTAAAAGTCACCAAAATTGGCCGATAAACTAAGGTCTAAGCTTTGTGTTCAGTATGAAAAATGTCACATTAAAACTAATAGKATTCACGATATTTTAGGAGATCTTTACATTATAATAATATTTTGCTATGATAAGCTATTAATTATTATAGTTAGGTAATTGTTAATATCAGTATGTACTATGTATAGGTAAATAATAGTTAGATAAAATATTCTATTGAATGGAAGAAATAGTTTATTTCATTATAATTATAGCTTTTAATTTTAATTAATTAATAATATATTATGCACACGCCACACACCATTTTACACGATTAGCGTTTAATAAAATAAACAATTTAATTGAATTAACAAGTGTTTAAAAGAATCATTAGCATAGTATTATTATTATTTTGAATTAACAAGTGTTTAAAAGAATCATTAGCATAGAATTATTATTATTTTGAATTAAACTTGGTCAAATAAGACGATAATCAATTATATATATATATATACTTTGAATTATTAACCAATATCCATTTTCCAGTAGGTGGTATAGGTACCATTAAAAACATGATAATTTATGTATAAGCTATTAGTATTCTTATACAGTGATACAGATGTTTTATTTAGTATATATTAGACGTTAATAAATAGAAGCGAAAAAACAAAATGTTTAGCATCAATATAATATTATTTAAGGCGAAAGATTTTTTCGACTTGAAGGGGAACCGGAGTAATATTATTTAAGTATAATAATGTAATAATAAGAAATAATTGGTAGCAATGGTGGTTGGTGATGGTGAATACAGAATTATTGTACGTAGCATTATTTATTCGTTACGAAAGGTAATTATAATCAATGGTGAACGTCTGTATAATATTTAGTAAGTCCAGTCTCATCGGTATATTATATTTCTACATACATGTGTAAATAAATTTTTTTT